CACACACACACACACACACACACACACACACACACACACACACATCGCGCACACACACACACACACTTATATCAGCCCGCCCCTTCACTGTTATATGTAACTGTTCACATTCGTCTTGCCATATGTCCACCTGATTTTTTTTTGTTTAAGTCCGTTAAGTTATTTCTACCTCTTAGTTTACAACCAAAGACCCCGAAACACAGTGATGAAGACATTTTGTATTCTTTTACACGTGGCATTTATATCAACAGGTAAGTGAAAAAGTTGCAGAACCGCGAAAGGTGTTTCCACACTCCGTTCACTCGGACTGTTTTTGATTTTTTAAATTTATTTTGCTGACTTTAGCATGGCCCTATGTGTAAGCGATTTCCTTTTATTCTAACTAAACGAATCACATGGCGTATTTATTGGCTCAAAAAAATGATAATTAATTTTTTGAATCGAAGTGATAAGAATAACAGACGTTTCTGAAATTGCTGGCTCAACACATGTCGTCGTATATGACGGCATTTAAAATATATATTTTCCAGTTGTTATCGTTATGTTTTTTGTTCTTTCATGGGGGTTGGTTTTTAAACACCCTGCTCGATTTCGAAAACATATTTCAATAGTTCGGCATTGTCATAAGAAAGACATTGCGACTTGGTGTCGCCAGTGCACGTAAGGTAATTGTATACAACATTAAATTCCATTGCATACAAAAACAAACACATACACTCACGCACACACTGTTTGTATGTAATTTTCTTACGTATATACGACTACTCTATTTTAAAATCTTTAACGAAATAAAATGGAAACGTAAACACTGTGTAAATAAAAAGGCTGTTATTTTACATACATATTTCTTATTACTCTGTACGTTATGTTAAGTAGATGCGCATGTCTTGAGTAGACGACTCGACTTTTTAAACAGAATATTCACGTCCATCGGCCTAGTTTTTTTTTCATACTGTACAAAAAAAGGAATCTCCTATTCAAACAGGTGTATTCACTAAATAAAACGTATATAGTAATGAGAAATAATGCCGTACTATGGATTAAAAAAAACACATCGTTTAATAGTACACATTCACACACACACACACACACACACACACACACACACACACACACATATATATATATATATATGTGTGTGTGTGTGTGTGTGTGTGTGTATGTATTCAGCTAAAAAGCCGCCCTATCAGACAGCATTTAAGCTAGCTCCTGCGGAGGGCTCTTGAGTGGATCTTTATCACAAAAGGTAGGGAGGAGTAGATGCAAAAGGCAACAATAAACCACAGATGAAGTCAAAATTGATCGCTGATTTTAAGTATTGCATTAATATTTAAGATTATCATCTAAACGTTCAACGATAATTCTTCTGTCGCAACTTAATTTAAACACTATTTGATGTACGTAGGTCCTTACTTTCCGTAAGAACAATTATTTTTATATCATGGGTGAGTTTCGCTTGATTTCGCAATTAATTTCGATTGTACCCAAATTTACTTCCAAGTTATAAAAATTCGTCTTATGAAATCACGTAATAAAAATCGCCGAAAACAATCGCAGTAATAAAAACTTGGGAAGCCAGAATTTCAGGATTGCGGGTCCGAATCCAGCCCAGAGTGTTTTTCAATTTGCTCACGGAGTCGGCCTGTTTCCAAAATGATATATGTTGGGCTACGGCCTCTAGGAGTAAAGTTGGAATCACTGACAATTTTTATTTTGAAAAACTGTAATTTGAGAACAGTATTTTTTACTTGAACATGAGCTATTGAAAGTTAGAGAGTTATGTCACTTTAATTGTTTTTATCATTAGAAGCCAAGATGGCGGAATCCGAAAACAGTTGCAGTAATGAAAACTAAGCAATCCACAATTCAGGATTGCGGGTTCGATTCCGGCCCGGAATGTTTTTAATTTGCTCATGGAGTCGGCCTCATTCCCAAATGGTATGATATGTTGGTCTACAGCCTGTTGGAGTAAAGTGGAAAAAGTGTGATATAGTGAAACATTTTTTTTATTTTATATATATATATATATATATATATATATATATATATATATATATATATATATATATATATATATATATATATTATATATATATATATGGAGCGACTTGATAAAATCCGAAGGAGAATCAACAATATTATTAGTCCTGATCTGGCGGCTCGACTTCAGTCACTTACACACTGGCCTAACGTTGTCCCCGTGCCCTTTTTTTACATATATAATTTCATGGTAATTGTTCAGATGAGCTCTTCGCTATGGTACATAGACCGTATGAATTTAAGCGCAATACTAGACTAGCGGCAAGATCTCATCAATTTACAGTTGAGCTAGCAAGATGTCGCCATTACTTCTATGCTAACAATATCTCGCACTTCTCGTTTGTGGATCTCCTTTCCGGCTCCATGCTTTCCAGCTAACTTTAATCTGGAAATATTTATATGCAAAGCCAATCGCTATCTACTGTCCCTCCTGATTACTGGTTTCTCTTTCTCCTCATTACTAATGTTTCTGTTCCTAATTACACCACACCCTGTAACACCTTGCGAGCCAGTGGGGTGATACCGATTATATATATATATATATATATATATATATATATATATATATATATATATATATATGTGTGTGTGTATGTGTAACAACAACCAGAAATTGACCTATAGATACCAACCTATAATCTGAGTTTCACGCCAACCACTATCTTTAGACGATTACACACACACACACACACACACACACACACACACACACACACACACACACATATATATATATATATATATATTTGTAGTGTGTATCTTTGTTGGATAGAGCTTTTAGACAGATTTTTTCTCTGCCTCTTGAAATAGACATATCTTCGGCAGTTTTGTATCCTAACGTTAACAACGCAATTTGTAAATTTAAATTTAAGGATTGTATTTTTATTTATTAATCCAACAGATTTTTATTACGTTATTTTTTTTTAATGGATACTCGTATTTGCTTGGTCATCAACGCACTCTAAAGATGGTTTGCTCTACCGGATATATATATATATATATATATATATATATATATATATATATATATATATATATATATATATATATATATATATATATATATATATATATATATAATTAATGGATTAAAATTTATTAAACCGACATATTTCCCGGAGGGAGCATTTTTTTCTTTAATAAGATTTCTCGTATGTTCAGACCACTAGACAAAATAAAATACTGTTTAAAATAAACGGAACGTCTACTCAAATATAGGTATCAACCAAAAACTAATGTTTAAAATAATATATATATATATATATATATATATATATATATATAATTATTTATTTAAAAAATTATAACATCAATATGTTACAAAATCACTACAAAAATAGCCATATTGTTTCAACACCAATTTACTCGTATATATATATATATATATATATATATATATATATATATATATATATATATATATTATATGATAATAATATAGTTTTGAGGTATGCTATATTTATGGGTAAAAGTGTTCAATATCAGAGATAGAGCTTGTGTAAATATAAGAGTGAACACTAAGATCAACTCGAGAGTAACGCAGCAGATGTAGCAGTAAATTATTAAAGAATTGTATTGTAAATGGTTTTTAATATAGAAATGCATTACAGTTTATTTTAATTCTGTTTCTGTAAACCTTAATATAAAGTTGGATTGGTTAAACAGATACGAATAAGTCTTTTATTCGCTCTTATCATTACATATGGAATGACAGAAAGAGAAGCGACCACTTGTTATAGGAATTCGTTGGGAATGATTTTTACTATAGGAATGCATTGGGAATGATTTTACTATAGGAATGCATTGTAAATTATTTTACTATAGGAATGCATTGGAAATGATTTTACTATAGGAATGCATTGGAAATTATTTTACTATAGGAATGCATTGGAAATGATTTTACTATAAGAATGCATTGGAAATGATTTTACTATAGGAATGCATTGTAAATTATTTTACTATAGGAATGCATTGGAAATGATTTTACTATAAGAATGCATTGGAAATGATTTTACTATAGGAATGCAGTGGAAATGATTTTACTATAGGAATGCATTGGAATTAATTTTACTATAGGAATGCACTGGGAATGTTTTTCTCTCGGAATTGTAAATGATTTTACAATAAGAATGCATTGTAAATGATTCCACTATACGAATGCTTTGTAAATTATTTTACTACTGGAATGCATTGTAATCTTTTAATCAGTTCATTCCAATTAAGGCAATAACAGTCCTTGTGGTAGTTATTACACTTAGAAAATCGACATATAAAGCTAGGCTTATTATTACATCATATTTATTCGAATATATTTAATCGAATTTTCTTGCTTGCCCTCCTGGCTTGTGGAACTCTGTTCCGGCTCCAAGCTATCCAGACAACTTTAATTTTCAAAAATTTAAATGAAATGTCAATGGCTATCTACTGTTCATCTGATTACTCTCTTCTCTTTCTGCTAATCATTAATGTTTCTGTTCCTAATTCTTCCACAACCTGTAAGTCCTTGTGCTTTAGTGGCATTACTGCCTTGTTTTAAAAAATAGAAAAAACAATAATTTATCAGTTACTTTGGGCCAGTGAATTTGTGCACGGTCCGCAGATCCCCTGGTTCGATACGTTGAATCTTACATTCTCGCCTGCCATCTGAGAGATTTTCCAACTTTCATTTTGGAGCCTTTTTTTTTTTTGGTTGATTGATTTTATTTTATTTTATTTTTACTGCTTATCAACGTTTTTTCCAGATTATTTAAAGCCAGCAAATATTCTTAGATAGTAAGAATTATTTTGGGAGATAATGATTTACTGAAACAAGTCCAACTAATTAACCCATAGATGGGGAGGCAGAATAGGTAAATTCATAACTTTCCCAAGGGCATTTTCGCGTAAGTAAATATGAGGAACTCAACTGAAACTGGAATTCTTCTCTCCGATTTCCAATTCCGAGTCGTTATCCATTACACCACCCAAGTAGTCACCCATCTAAGTACTGACCAGGCTCGGTGTTGCTTAACTTCAATGATTGTACGAGAACATGTATTTCAATGTGATATGGCCGTAAGGCATACCACCCAGCACATCCAAGCTTACAGCACCTGGAATTTCCAAGTGGTCACTCATTTAGGTAATGACCAAGCTCGGTGTTGCTTAACTTCGCTGATCGTACGAGAATCAATATTTCAACGTGATATACCCGTAAGCCATACCACCCGGCATTCCCGAGTGGTTAGCCATCTAGGTACTGACCGGGCGTGAGGTTGTTTAATTCTGGTGATCGTATGGAACTTGTGTTTCAACGTGATATGGCCGTAAGCCATTTTTGGAACGGTTATACAGGGATGGCCACCAAAAGACTGAATGATATAAAACAAAAATAACTTTTACAAACCCATGAGTATCTTGGGGTAGTAAAGTTTGGACCATTTGAATCTTGTATGGAAACATTTTTAAATCTAGTTTCAGAATCTTCTAAGGAGATGTTCTGGCGATGCCTCCGTTCAGGAGCGACGACAGATAGAAGCTGATGGATCCTCAAGGAGACTCTACTGCACAGCTTCCACCGCTGCACCAGTGCGCTTAGGACCTCTTTCCGGAAGATCACCGACTGATTCAGTTCTTTCAGACTAAGCGATTAGGTTCCAAATCATGTTATCGCTAGAAGATACTTTGACATTAAAATGTTGCCGGTATTTTCTCTGAGTTTGAATAATTGATCTTTCACTGGAATAGAAAAAACTCAATGAGCTTTACTCGTTGCTAGACATCATACATAGCCATTTTAATCCATCAAGGGATTCTCTATAACCTGCAAAATAAATAAATAGATAAAAATAAAATAAAAAAATATTGAGAATGAACAAGTTATGACTTTTTCAAACCCCTCATTTTTTCAGTGGCGTATTTCGTATAGAAAAACGTTAAAATTTCACTTTCTCTATTGGATTTCGATCCCGGCTTGAAGCAATCGGACGTCTAGCCACACTGAAGAACTGTGATACAGCGAAGCAGTCTATATGTGGATGATTATATATATATATATATATGTGTTGTACAGATGCGCACGCGCGCGCACACACGCACACACACACACACACATATATATATATTGTTACGGTTTTTTGGGTATATGTATAACTAGTGAGCGAGTCAAAATGACTTATTTTCCTTTATAGTCTACCAAGAGAAGATTAACCAATCAGGAGCCGCAGAACACTGGATCCGTCGTGTATAAAGGCGGCCATCTTTGTTTTCTTACCAACCTGACCAGAGGCAATTTGTACGGCGAACAGGACAGACGGAAGAACTACGCTATGCTACCTTGCTGTGATATCCACTGCGAACCTGCACTACACTTTCCTACTGTCTCCGAAATATTCACTGCCAATCTCTGGATTCTATACTCGAGGACGACCGTCATGAAAATGTCTAATATATATATATATATATATATATATATATATATATATATATATATATAACTCTGTGTGTGTGCGCGCATCTGTCCAACGGTTTTGCTTATGCACGCACTTATTAGGCGCAGCGTTGACCACAGGTGTCCACTTCTCAGGCTCATCACTGACATCGGGTAAATCGCGGTTCTCTACCCTCGGCTAAGAGGTTATTTCAACTCAAACTTGTACCTGGCTCTCTTAATAGTCTGGTGCGAAACTGAGTGCAATGATTATTCCGGCATGACGCATACATTACATACGTTTACGTTCTGATCTCGGTTCAATTTTATACGATGGATTTTACCCAGGGACATGGAAGATTCAGTAAAACGCAATTAAAACAAAGGCAGGGAATAAAACTCGAAGTTTTAAACAATTATTTTGCCTCAAGTAAAACGAAAAAGCCACTAAGACGCAAAGGGTTGGTGAGAGTGAAAAAATCTTAGAAAAACATTATTGAGAACAGAATTCAAGAGGGCAGAAAATTATGATTGACGTTGCATTTAAATATTTGATGCTCAGAATTGACGACAAAGCCAGAAATCGAAAGAGAGTTTCACAGGCGAGAAGTACGAGAGAAGAAACTATTGGAATAGAACTTACGGTTACATTTAGCCTTTTCAGCAGTGAAATGATGGGGTCTGGCTGTCAATCTAGTATTGTGCGTAAATTTTGTGTTGTGGCCTTGTTAGAGCCAGAAATAAAGGCGCGAAGAGAGGAAGGGAATTAAACAAATATATTAACAAAAGCAGTAATACAAACATATACAAACAAGAGTGTTACAACAAGAATGTTCGTTTCGACTGTCAGAGCTGACTGCTGGAACCTTCCCTCTCTAAAAGGCAGTACCTGCTCCTATTTATAACTGGGAGAGTCCATGCGTGCGTGGGTAAATTACCATAACAATTTGTGAATTCCAAAGAGGAGAACTCATCGGAGTAACTAACATGAAAATATTTATATAAAACAGGGAAGCTACTTTACGGCAGTGGGATAGTGACTGAAGTTGAGATTCCCTATCAGGACCGATAATGTTGCAGATTCTTCTTTGAATTTTGTCAGGAATCTCTAGATATATAGCAGAAGCACTAAACCAGATGTGGCAGCAATATTTAATGTACGAACGAATTGTAGACTTATAAATGTCCAAGAAAGAAAAAATTCTGTCTATATTTCTGAGATGAGGTATTATGTACATTATTTACATTATTCGGACACAGTGCACAGTGGATAAAGGCGTTAGTTAGATCCAGTGACAGTACCCAAAGAGTGTGAGTTCAATACACGGTTAAGGCAGTCGAGAACTTTCAGAGGGAAATTAACAGGAGATAACTGATAACTGACATCCATTAAAACATGGCACGTGGAACTAGAACAGTCTACCCCAGTGAGCGAAATAAAGGGTTCCAACCCCCTGAAGAAGGCCGGAGCGTACAACGGCCGGAACGTTGTAATAAATATGGCGGCAAAGCCGAGGACATTAGTCCGAATAATGTAAATAATGTACAGAAAAAATTGTCCAGTATGGTACAGTGAACTAACTTTCTTAGGAGTAGGTCTGGGTGTTGACTAGATATAATTATTCCAATAATCAGTGAAAAATGTTAGACTGAGAAGATGCAATGAGACTGAAAATAGCACAAGACGTTTGTGGATACAGACAACCGTAAATATTTACAGAAAAGAGAAATGTGAACCGTCGCATTGCGTTCTTTCTATCGCGGAACTTTGGTTTGCCGATTAGTACGCATGTCTTTTTTTTTTCTTCTTCTGCTAAACCTGTTTTGTTATTAACACTGCTTCAACTTGACACTAGAAATAGACAAATAAAAGACACCAGAGGAAAGAGAAAACTATTGCTGTTAAGAAGAAAAGAAAAGAAAAAAATTGTCTTGTTTCCACCTAATTAAACAACGTTAAAACAAATTCAACTTTCTCTTAACTAAACACACATGTTTATCATACATCTAAGTTAAACTTTTTCATTCCGTTGATTTTTCTCTCTTTTATTTGGATTCCTACAAACAGTACTTTTGAACACTCAGAAAGAGCGTACATTTTATATTAAGTGTATCGGGTTACGTTTCTCTCTAATAAAATCATCAAGCATTATTCTGTTAGTTATGTGCTATGCGTGATACACGCTTAGGCGATCATGTATCTTTCGATACATGACTGACGAGGCAGATTATTTTTCCCGCAGTAGGATGCCATTTCTTTCTGCGGTAGACCAGTTGCCATCCAAGGCTATAGAACCCGGCCTTTCCTGCTATTTGCCTATAGCTTTAGAAGAAGAAGAATCATACCTTTCCCAGGGGTATTAGCACGTAAGTGAATGTAATGGATTCGAACTCAGTTCTTTGATTCCTCAATCCGAGCCGCTATCCATTACTCCACCGTAACTTCTCCTCTTCAAGCATTTTAAGCTTTATTATTGAGGGATTCTTTTGTATTTTTAATCGAGCCACTAAAACACAAGGTGTTATTGGCTGTGCAAGCATTAAAAACAAAGAAAAAAGTGCTCAACTGCTATTTAATATCAGTCACCATACTGGATAATTTCCTCACAGGTGAAGAGGAGACTTGAAGCAACAGAGATAGGTTTTTACAGAAGGATAGTGAGAATTCCATGGTCGGATCATGTGAGTAACTAGGAAGTTTTAAGGAAAATGGAACCAAAACGTTGCTTATAGATAGAACCAGAAAGAGATGGTTGAAATTTCCAGGGGTTATAAAGAGGTCTTGAAAAATTGGTCAATCACGGGAAATATTAAAGAAAATAGTGACAGGAAAACAGCGAATACAAAGACAAATATTGCTAAGAGTTACAAAAGATAGGAAGTTGTAGCGAGTCATCTACCTAACAAGCTTGTGTAAATGAGCGACAGAACAGGGAGGGATAGTAAAAAGGCAAACATTGCTAAGTGCTACAAAGGATAGGAAGTTGTGGAGAGCCATGATCATCTACCTAATGAGCTTGGGAACAGGAGAGACAAATATTTCTAAGAACTACAAAATATAGGAAGTTATGGAGAGCCATGATCATCTACGTAACGAGCTTGTGTAAATGAACGACAGAATAGGGAGAGGGAGGGGTAGTAAAAAGACAAACATTGCTAAGAGCTGCAAAGGATAGGAAGTTGTGGAGAGCCATGTCCATATAGCTAACGAGCTTGTGTAAAAGGATGACAGAACAGGGAGCGGGGGGGGGTAGAAAAACAAACATTCTTAAGAGCTACAAAGGATAGGAAGTTGTGGAGATCCTTGATCATCTACCTAACGAGCTCGTGTAAAATACGTCAGAACAGGGAGCGGTAGTAAAAAGACAAATATTGCTAAGAACTACAAAGAATAGGAAGTTGTGGAGTGCCATGAACAACCAGGTCCTTGAAGGGACAAGTCACATATAAGAAGAACATTCCGTGCATTCAAAGCATTTGCATAACTTCTATTTTGAAAGTGGAATCATGACTGAGTAAAGTGACATTGCAGAAAAAATAAAAAAGCGAAAAAACAGATAGAATTCAATATTTGGTTGTACTTCAAATTGAAAAAACGACTATGAAACCCCATTAGTACCAGACCACAAAGAAATCTTAGTAATGTATTT